CCCGTGTTCCCCAGGGAACATGTGTGTGTAAGTGAAAACGCACCCCACGGACACGTCTCCCCGTGGGCACATGGGTCGTTAGGTTGTTTACTGTCGGCGGCACCCGTGTGGCGCGATGTCAGGGCTGAGGGACACGCACATCCGTGCGTCTCGCTGCTGAGAGTCGGCGGCGCGGACGATGGTGCATCTGCAGCGGAGGAGGCAGCTATTACGGTCCCCGGTGCATGCGGGTCTGAAATGGGAGGTAATGGGCCCAGGGCCGCAGCCATTAGCAGCGACAATGCCCTCTTTCTCCTCTAATTTGGTGGCTTCCTGAGGTCACCCGCGCCACGGAGTGGTGGCTGTTGGTTTCTGGAAGTTTCCACGGAACGGCGGTACATTACCCTCCCGTTCCCGAGAGAATCCGGGGTTCGGGGTCCTTAATATCCTGCAGGGAGAGGTCAGGGCGACCGCCCATCCGGAAACAATACCTCCTGTGTGTGTGTGCACACGCGTGAGCCACAGACTGATGTATAAAAACAGGGGGGGGGGGTATCCTTCACCCCACCACCCAGCCGCCAGCATCCTCCCTATTTTCGTGTGTTTTCTTCCCTCTTGCTTCTCTGCATATTTATGTATGCAACGGGGATCCTACTTCACCTTCAATTTGGCGCGATGATTTTTTTCCCCGAGCCTAATGCTTTGTTATTATAAACTCCTTGAAATGTATGATTTACACATGGGTGGCTATTATGAAAAGGCAGGCTGCTTATTCATCTCCAATTCACTTTCTCATCCGCTGTCATGCATTTCCCCACAATGAGCACCTCGGGCTGAGACGGCCGTGGTAAGTGGAGTCTCACATCCCGTCCTCGCCGTGTTTTCAGCGCCGGAGCCTGTCCTGTCCAGGGAGGGGGCGTCTAGCAAAGCCGGGAGCCGGGTTTCACACCCCTGAGCCTGGGGGAGGGGGTGGCAGGGGGTCCCTCAGCCCCCACCAAAGAGACGTCTTCACCTCTGGGGGCAAAAGCCCCTGTAGATGTCTTGTCTCTGATACGGCCCCTCTCACTTGCTTATTACTCGAAAGGGACGTAGGAATAACTGTGTTGCCCTGGTTGGCCTGGCTCAATGGCTGAGCGTTGACCCATGAACCAGGAGGTCAGGGTTCAATTCCCAGTCAGGGCACACGCCCAGATTGCGGGCTCGCTCCCCACTAGGGGGGCGTGCAGGAGGCAGCCGATCCGTGATTCTCATCATTGATTGTTTCTCTCTCTCCCTCTCCCTTCCTCTCTGAAATCAATAACAATAATTAAAAAAGAATAGCTCAGTGGTTAGAACGTGGGCCTGCGCACCAAAGGGTCTTGGGTTCAAGTCCCAGCGAAGGGGCCACGCACCTGGGTTGCAGGTTCGTTCCCAGCCCTGGTCCGGGCACGTGCGGGAGGCGACCAATCAACATGCCTCTCTCACATCGACATTTCCCCCTCTCTTTTCCTCTCTCTCTAAAAAAAATCAGTGGAAAAACATCCGCAGGTGAGGGTTCACAAAGACACAGAAACACACACACGGGCCGTATACCAGGCAACACAAAGCCACAGAGGAGGGCCGGGCGAGGGAGAGGCAGCCAGGCCATTCACTGGAAGCCCTATTGTAGTTGTAGCCATCGCACCGGTTTTCAGGGCCGAAGGGCGAGCCCGTGACAAATGAAACCCAGGGCACTTCATTCTCAGTCTTCGCAGCAACAACGTCGGGCGATTTCTGTCTCGGGGGCCTGGCGGGGATTTGGGGGTGGGGAAGGGGTGAGGGTCAGTCCTGAAGGGTCGGCTGCACTCCGTTGTATCCGGAAGAGAAGTTGGCCGTTCATTTGTGGGCCCACAAAACAATGGCCAGGGAATGGTTTGTTTGTTTGCTTTTAATTCTCACCAGAGGATATTTTTCCCTTAATTGTCAGAGAGAGGGGAGGGAAGGGAGGAAAGAGAGAGATAGAGAGAGAGGGAGAGAGAGAGAGACATCGATTGCCTGCCCCCTGCACGTGCCCCAACTCGGGCCAGCGATGGAGCCTGCAACAGGGGTAGGTGCCCTCGCTGGGGAATCGAACCCGGGACCCTTGGGTCCACAGGCCGACGCTCTGTCCACGGAGCCACGCCGGCCGGGGCCCTCTTGCATCGTGTTGTTGAGCACGGTGGGCTCAAGAGGCGTGTCGTGGACACTCCGTGGACAAAGCTCACCAGCCCGTGCCCTTTCAAGGTGCTCACTTAATGAGTTTAAAGTAACAGACGAGCCGACCGGAGGTACATTTCTCAGAAGTAATTAAATACTCGGGGGGGCGAGAGGGCGCAGCCAGAAATGCCACTTAGGGAGACAGATCAGCCGCCGCTTACAGCCGGTCCGGCCACGTTCCCCGAGTAAGTGAGCGGGAACCCGGGGCCGCCACGGCCGTTATTGATCCCAATTATGGAGATCAGACATGGCTGTCCGCGGAGGCAGAGAGAACATGGACGAGAAACGCGTCCCTAATTGTGTCCGCAGCTCCGTTCCTGGTAGGACGAGGCTCAAAAGACGTGGTTTGTGTTTTTTTCCTTCCCCCAGAAACGAGGACACCACTGCTGAACGTGCCCCCTTTAAAAACACTGTCATAAGCCCTGGCCGGTGCCGCTCAGTGGTTAGGGCGCCGGCCCTCACTCCCAAAGGTCGTGGGTCTGATTCCTGGTCAAGGGCAGGTGCCTCGGTGGCGGGTTCGATCCCTGGCCCTGGTGGGGGCACAGGCTCTGCTTTCTGTGACTGGGGAGGGCCCGTCCTCTCTACGCCTGTGACACGCGGCGTGTAATTTGTTGTTAATCCTCACCTGAGGATATTTTACCATTGATTTTTTTTAGAGAAATAGTGGAAGGGAGGGTTGATTTGAGAGACAGAGAGAGAGAGAGGGAGGGAGGGAGGGAGGGAGGAAAGAGAGAAACATCGACTTGCTTTTCCACTTATTGGTTGATTCCTCTATGATCCCCATCTGGGAATCAAAAGGGTGCCTCCTGCCTCATGGGTCCGCCCTCAGCCACCAGCCGGCGCACTCAGTGCTCTGAGAGGCGAGTCGCAGAGGAGAAAGCTGCGTCGGGGGCCCCGCACCAACGGGACTGAACGTTAGCTTCTTAGAGCTTCATGCGGTTGCATCTGAACGGGGTGTGGCAGGGAGACCCACAGAACGGCCACCCGCCTCGATCGGAAGGGAATTGGTCTGTTCAGAGGCGACGAGTGACAGGGGCCCCCGTCCAGGGCCGGGGAGGAGCAGGCCCACATGGGTTCTGCCCAGACCCATCCGGGATGCTGCCATCAGCTCTCGGCCAATCCCCCCAGAGAAAGTAGAGCCAGCAGAGCCGGGACCCCGCGGCCAGCCCTTAGGAGGTTCCGGGGTTCCGCTGTCCCCCCAGCTGCCAAAGGCTGACTCCTTGGGGCCCACAGCTGGCTCTCAGCTGGGAAAGCTCCCCTTAAAGTGTTGGTGATCCTCACCTGAGGGCACTTTCTCCGTTGCTTTTCAGAGAGGGGCAGGGAGGGGGGGACAGGGAGCAACACAATTGATGTGAGGGGGACATCCATTGG